TATACATGTCCATGTCGATGTTCATGTCTATGTCCATATATATACATATATATATATATATATATATTGCTATATTACTATATTAATATATATATATACATGTATATTTTGATATATAATATATGAGTGTAAAATAGCATATATTAGGGGAGATATGGTAATTCGTGATTTGTGGGGGATGAATAAACGCTTATCCAGATATGCACATGCAAGATGTATTCTTCAGCCGCTCGCGTACTCACACGTACGCCCACATACCGAACATATCCTCACCACCTACCTACCTACCTACTTACTTACCTGCCTACCTACTCAGACGTTCAGTTGTTACTACTCTGACTGTGTGGACTATCTCAGCGAGTATGTGGAAGAGTGCGACCTGGCCATCGCCCAGCCAGTCGTCACCAACATCAACTCCGCCATCCGCTGTGAGACGTTCACATGTTCTATGGAGTGTGAGCCAGAGTGGAGCTTCTGCTCGGCTACGGTTCGGGGTGCGCTGCAGTTTGCGACGGGACCGTTTGTAATGGTTAGTAACGGCACATACGCGAACGCGCGCCAGTCAACACTGGAGCTGGTGGCGCCGTGTGGCGTGCATATGCAGGTCAATGGGTACGTTGGATGGGTGTGCGTGGAAGTTTGAGAATATGCTTATACATAGTGCAAGATAGCTGTACGCATTTATTTATCCTCATGGTAATATAAGCCGTGGTGTATGTACCTGTGCATGGTTGCACGATATCTACATGATAACGTACATGATGCTTTTTCGTATACACTTGGACATGATTATAAAATAACTTGGTATCTGGGGTTGCTTCCTTATGTCTGTTTATGTGTGTGCGTGCGTGTGCAGGTTTAGAGTTGCTGCAACGGGCGGACATATTCTTGTTTTTAATCAGCATTCTCTTTATATCTTCCTATGGGAAAGTCGCCATTTGTTATATATATAAATGCATGGGCGAATTTGTACTCCATTCTGTCTATCATCTATGCCTTGCCTCGTCGTACACATGTTATCACCGAACGAACCATCTCCCCGCAATTATGTTTGTTGGTCTGGTCACCCGTTACTGCCAAACGAACCTGAATATCCGCGCAAACCTCAACGTACTTTCAAAAATCTGGTTCGATTGTTTTATACCCATAGTTCAGCTCTTGGCCCGCTCTTGATGCTCACTACACTCACTCCCTTCTCTCCGTCTCCTACTACATCGATCCCCAAACATAGGTCGTCATGTGTGACCTCGGATGATATTGTCGAAGTCAATACCACCATAGAACTGATGGATTCGGCCAATGAGCTCATTGGCACCAACGTAGATAATAGCGTAGAATTTGGTGATATGGTTGCTGTTGTCATCGCTCTCATCTTTTGTATGTGAGCGACAAGCCTGTGTAATTGTATACGTTGATGACCTGGCTTAGATATATAGGTCTATATATATATATATATATATATATATATGCATATCCAGGGTTCGGGACTCGTTTAAGCGACCCTGATGTGATCAATGTTTTAAATGCCCAGGGACAGTCTTATCCCCAGTGGTATCTGCGCACATATGCTACAATCACACCCACAATGTAATATTATACACACTCACAATATATTCTCATCCACATTATCTCCCTTCCAGTGGCCCTACTTGGCGTCTCCATCATCATGGGTCTTCTAGCCTTCCTACGCGTTCGCACCTTCGACAAAGTGCGAACGAAGGGTACCGGAAGCATCTCTGCCTTTGAATCACTGGACTTGGGGCCTATCACGGCCAGTGCCAAAGCCATCAACCAGGCCCTCGCGTTTGTGGATGTGAGTTACAAGATAAAAGACACTGTGCTGCTGGATAATGTCACGGGTGTGATGTATCCCGGAGAGATGGTTGCGGTGATGGGGCCCTCGGGTGCTGGTAAGAGCACGGTAAGTGTGTTTGTCTTTTTATTTGTCTACTATAGGAAGCTTCACCTTTCAGCCGAAGTCCATTAATCCAACAGCTGATGCAGAAAGAGACTGTGGAAAGAACCATCGTGGTTAGAAGCGAGTGTATATCTCTATCCTGAAGACGTTCCATGAAAATATAAGACTATACAATATTGCTTAGTAACCACAACGTTCGTGTATGCCATATCGACACGTTGCAGTCCACGAAGTCAAATTGTCGATCAGGGTAATAAGCGTATTATGACAGTCGTGTTTGTAGAGGGAAACAGAATCCGGTATCGTCTTCCTGTGTCGGTCGCTGGAGATGGATAGTGTAGGTACACCCGTATGAGCTGACATGTATCACTATCTGAGGCATTGCACGAAATGGCACAGTTTATAAGCAGGTCTGTGCACTGGCCAACGGCAATATCACATATCAATGCACATATGTACGTCTATGCAACTACCACATACCCACAAGTGCATACAACCACACCATCACTCATGCACACACTACACACATGTACGTGTGCATAATTACCACATCCTCACAAGCACATACAACCACATCATCACTCATGCGTACACCCATACCTATGCCACATACCTATCCACGCACACGCCACTAGGCTTTAGATATAATCGCAGGCAGGCGCAAGAGCGGCGCTGTCACGGGTGAAATCTGGGCCATGGGCAATCGTGTAAAGGGTCAGACATTGCGACAGAAGGTCGGGTTTGTAGATCAGGAATACATACCCATGGCTACGCTGACTGTCACAGAGTGCCTGATGTATTCGTGCATGCTACGCTTGCCCAATGACACGAGTATGGCCCAGCGGAAGGAGCGTGTGGAGGCGGTGATTAGAGATGTGCGTATCACAAACATCGCCGACAGCAGAATAGGTACAAATATGTGTGCGGATGCAGCTATCTAGCTAAGTATCTGTGTATTGAAATGAGTGAATGTTTGCTCGGAGTGCGGTCAGGTAATACTCCATTGGTATATATATATATATATATATATATATATATATATATATATATATATATATATATATATATATATATATATATATATATATATATACATATATATATATATATATATATATATATATCTATCTTTATATATATATATATATATATATATATACACAATATTTTATCTATATAT